GCCGCCATCTTGGCTGACAGTTAATTTGCATATATTCACTGATTAGCCAATGAAAAGGGTAGCGGTCGTACGCCAATTACCATGTTTCTCTTTTATTAGTGTAGATACATTGCAAGACAACATTCATTTGTAAAAGTTCAACGTTAAACTAATTTTTTCTCAAAACCTAAAATTCTGCTATAATTTACATCTAAAAAGATGTTTTAAACAAAATATAATGAAAAAGACTTCTAATATTTGGAAGTAAAGAATCCTTTTCTAGGAAAAAATATTAATAGGATTCAATCAATTTTATTTTTGCTTTCAGTGGAAAAATTCAGTGGGTTCTCAATTCACTAATATAAAGCCCCAAATATAAATTCCTATTAATCTACATGAACTTGGCTTTGAATAGTCTCTTAAAACTTTCCTCATGTATTTTTCATTATGTGGGGAAAAGTAATTTAATACTTTTAATAATTCTGATACCTAGTCTCCAAGTTTAAAATGTAAAAAAAGAAACAAAGTTTTAGAAAAAAATCTACACATATACACCTCTCATAACAGCCCTAGCCAGTTTGGCTCACTGTATAAAGCATCAGCCTGCCGACTCAAGGGTCCCAGGTTTGATTCCGGCCAAGGGCACATGCCCGGGTTGTGAGCTCGGTCCCCAGTAGGAGGCAGCCGATCAATGATTTCCTCTCATCATTGATATTTCTATCTCTCTCTTCCTCTCCCTTCCTCTCTGAAATCAATAAAAATATATTTTAAAAAAACAAACAAACAAAAAAACAAACAGCAAAAGTGTCTCAGGAAATATTTAAATAAATTTTGCTAAATCCCTCAAGTATTATTAATGCAAGAAACTTTATATATACTTTCAAATTTAAAAACTATAAAATAAATATTTTTGCAACTAAGATGAAACAAAACTTAGAATGAGTAACAACTTAATAGAAATGGCATCATGAACAGTTCTTACCTTTTTGGAATTTCACATAGCTGATTCTTACTGAAGTTAATAGAAGTGATAATATTGTTTTTTACTGCATCAAACACTTCATCAGGAATCAAGGTTGTCTGTTTATCACTAAATGAAAAATGTTTAACTTTGAGAAGTCCAGAAAAATATAATTTTTACTTTTAAAGGACTCTGAGGATTTTATAAGACAATTTTTAAGGTAGTTGATAATGTAGTTCTGTAAAGAATGCTACAAAAACCTACCAATCCACAAAATGTTAACTGTCAGGAATTCAGACAACATACTGTGTCACAACACAATGTACCTTCTGAGCATTCATATACTCAATGTTAATAAAAATAAAGATATATCTCCAGACTCTAATGTCTAGAAGTCATATAGTAAATAGCTAGTAACTCAGTAAATGGATTCCTCTACCTCAGAGTAGAACTAAATCTGTAATTTTAAAAACTGTTTTTGCCCCTTTTTAAAAATTCTTTAATACAGGCTATCTGTCAACTTTCTTTAGGTATATATTAAACTGCAAGATAAGAATCATTCTTAAATGTTCAATATTGTACTAGTGTTCTCATAACCTAAACCCATTTCTCTCTCCTTTAGCATGTGACAAGGTAGACAGAGTAGTGGCCTTAGAATAAACAATTTCTGGTTCTACCATTAAGGAGCTTTATCATTCACCTTCCCTGAACCTCAGTTCTTTGAAATTAGAATCTAAAGAGTTATTAATTGTTATTTATGCCAGATCTTTTACAAATGTAAATATAAATTTCCTTTTCAGTAAAATTTAAATTTTTCAGTAAGATTTTTAATGAAATATAATTTTATCTTAAATGAAACTATAGACTGCTGACATTTAACAATCTGTTGTTGTTATAATTAGCCATTATCTTTATGTTCTTCTTTTATAATTTTTAATGCCTAATACATCACCCACTTAAAAGCATCCTCGATAGAATGTCCACTGAATGACTGTATGTACAAGAAAGCAATATCATGTGTGCAGTATGGGAGAACTGTGTAAGAAAGTTATTGTAATACAGATAGGAAAAAGACAGCCTAAATTCCATACATATTATGCCTTCTTCTTTTTCTGCTTAGGGCTCCATTTTCTGCTGGGCAGATGTAACATTTTTATCTTTTCAATCAGCTATGTTCAAGTCATCGGAAACTGATTTATTCTAATCAAACTTTGAAGATTCATGCTATTTTTAAAAATTCAGTTGAAGGCATTTATAACTTAAAATTGGGAATTAATTTGTATCTTAAATGGTATATTCTTTTCCAATTAAAGTCTTTGAGGAAAACAAATTACAATAAATTCAGAATCTAAGTATGTAATCTAAGATGTGTAGTCTTAAATGTTGTATTTATTATGCTTTTGTGATACGTGTGTCTTTAAAAAGTAGGATTGATTATCTCAAATAAAATTGTATTACTATTACTGTATAGATTTTTTTGGAGGATACTGACTACTGAGAAGGTGGTTCCTACTAACACATTGAGGAAGAGGCAAGATATTGAAGCTGGCTATGTAGATGAATTGGTGTTATTCTGTATTTTCATTATGTTACTGAGCCAATCATTGCAAGAGCTTTGATAGTATTGGTTATTTTTATCTTTGTCACCTCAGTACTGAAAGAACACTTAACCACTCCCAAACTTTGCATAGGTATCTTCATTCCCCAATTGAATACACTTCCATAATATATAAAAATTTTTAAGCTTTGTCTCAGTTTACATACCAACATTGTAACTGTTTCAGATTGAATATATGTGCTACCAGAGCACATTGTTACTATGACATTATTTTACTTTCATTCAGATATAGTAACATAATACAACCTCTCAAGCTTTGCCTGCTTGGGATGTTCATTAACTAAATTATATTTATTTCTAATTTACCAACATAGACACACCTCCCTCCCTCCCCTCTGCCCCATACCAATATAAAAATCCTCTCTAGATGCTGGTCAGAAATTTTATTACCAAGCAATACTGTCACCCCTTTACTTTTCATAATAGCAAAATGTTCTTTATTATAAACATTTTACTATTAATAACCATTAATTCATCTCTAGCATAATACATACAAACCACCTAAGAAATGGGCATTTAAGTTCATTAAACTTTTAGTATGCTTCTATCTCATCATTGCTTTTAGAATTGCTATTAAAGCATACTAATGTACTTTTGCAAAATATTTATTTCTGAAAATTTCCTTCGTTTCGTTACGTTTGAAAAAATGAATTACATACCTATAGTCTAGTATTTTTAATGTGATGATGGCATGTACATTGACTCTGGATTCACTTGGTAGTGTCATGGCAGTCTCAATAACAGAGTCACTTTGGCTAGGTCCATCATCTGGGGGGAAGGGGGGAAAATGTTATATGAAACCAATATATGTAGCATTAAGTCATTTTTGAAAATTAAGAAAATACATAAAAATTATATATATGATCTCTTTATGTAATTGGTGAGAATGACTTAGTCGTATGCTTTATCTCCAATAACTCAAATCTGAGTTTGAATTTAATATTTAATTAATAGAAAATAAAGTTACTATAATATGGCTTCAAAATCTATTAATAAATCCTACCATAAGGAAACTCAGAAGTAGGAAAGAACCTTTAAGAACTAAAATGTCTCAGAAGAAACAACAAGGAATCCTTCCTCTTAAGCAAAATAATATAGTCCATTAGAAGAAATATATTAAAAACAGCAAAAAATGATTATTTCCCACAAATGTCTACAAAATAGGCATATGCCTATCTTTTCATTTAGAATACAATGAAGCTGATTATCCTCAATCATTTAAAATCTGGTAATTTGTCTAATCCAGGGAACTTTTAATATATTACTTACATTAAGATGTTTTTTAGCAAATGTAAGACTATTTTCTTTCTTCCTTTTTCTTTTTTATGGATTTCAGAGAAGGAGGGAGAAGGAGAGAGAGATAGAAACATCAATGATGAGAGAGAATCATTGATCGGCTGCCTCCTGCACACCCCACACTGGGGATCAAGCCTGCAACCCAGGCATGTGCCCTGACTAGGAATTGAACTGTGACCTCCTGGTTCACAGGTTGACGCTCAACTACTGAGCTGGGCTATTTTCAATAAATATTTCCTAACATGTCTGTGTACTCACACATTCACACACAAATCAACCCTCTCACTAATCTCCAGAGACATTTAACACTGCCTTGGCAATATTCCCGAAACTGATCTATAAATTCGATGCAATCCTCTAACAGAATCCTAGCTGAGTTCTTTGTAGAAATTAAGTTGATTGTAAAATTCGTATGGAATTGCAAGAAACCCAGAAGAACCAAAACAAGCCTGAGAAAAATAATAAAGTAGGAGGACTTACATTTCCTGATTGAAAAACTTACTACAAAGCAATGGTCATCAAGACAGTGTGGTACTGGCACAGAATAGACATAGAGATCAGTGGAATAAAATTGAGAGGCCAGAATGCACCCTACATTTATGGTCAACTGATTTTCAACGAGAATGGAAAGACCTTGTTGAAAAGAATAGCCTTTCAACAAATGATGCAGGGAAACTGGATAGCCACATGCAAAAACAGGAAGAAAAAGAAATTGAACCCATATGTCACACCACATTTTAAAAATTACTCAATATATATCAAAGACATAAATGTAAGAGCATTCCCTGTGGAGCCACCCACCTGTTGCTCCGGTAGAGGAAGGACAGAGTGGACTGGAGCTGTGTGAGCAGAAGCCAGGATTGGGGACTCGGGGGTTAGAGCTCAAAAGGCAGACACCCCAGATTCCTGTGCTGAGTCATTCCCTCACGAAGCAGAGGACATCTTTCCCACACAGACATTTGCCTTGCCTGGGGGAAGACAGCTGACCCACCCTATTGGAAAACACCTTGTCCTGAGGCCACTTAAGAGATTAAAAGTAACAATTAGCCTCCAGGCAGAAGCAACTACCCCACCCTGTTGAAAAAAACTTTTGCCACACCTGAGGATGATTGCCTGGGGCCATTCAAGTCAGAATCCTATCAGTCTGTAGGCAAAGGCAGTCTCTGGAGGCATTGAGTCTTTGCCTGATCTAATTAGTCATAAAGTGTTTGACACTGTTCTGCACTAAAGATTGAGAGGCATAGAGGATCTACCTAATATAGTCACAAATCCAAACAGACAGCCAAAATAAGTAAAATAAGATTCTGCAAAGGATTTTTAAATATGAAACCAAAAGCATAAGCAAATAAAGAGAAAACAGATAAACTAACTTCATCAAAATTCAAAAAGACTTGTGTTTCGAAGGACACCATCAAGAAAATGAAAAGACAACACATACAGAGCTAAAAAACATTTGCAAATCAGATATCTGACAAGATACTTATAACTAGACTAGAGGCCCAGTGCACAGATTCGTGCACTGGTGGGGTCCCTCAGCCTGGCCTGCACCCTCTCACAATCCGGGACCCCTTGGGGGATGTAGTAGTGCACGAAGCGGCAGACGGCTGGGGAGGAGCCCGAGCCCGGGCCAGGCACCACGTCGCTCCTGCTTATCCTGGCCCCACTGTGCTTGCCACCACTGCTGCTCTGTAGGCTCGTGTCTGGCGCCCTTGGTCAGCTGACTGGTGCTCCCGCTGTGGGAGTGTACTGACCACCAGGGGGCAGCTCTTGCATTGAGCGTCTGCCCCTGGTGGTTAGTGAGTGTCATAGCAACTGGTCAACCGGTCGTTTGGTCACTTAGGCTTTTATATATGTAGATTATATAAAAAACTAATACAATTCAATAATAAAAAGATAAATAATCTAATTAAAAATTGGGCTAAGGATCTGAACAGATGTTTCTCCAAAAATGTATAATGGCCAATAAGTACATGAAAAGGTACTCAAATCATTAGTAATCAGGGAAATGCAAATCAAATCTACAGTGAGATACTTCACACCCAGTAGGATGTCTAGAATCTGAAAGTCAGAAAAAAAAAACGTGTTGGTGAAGATGTGGAAAAATCAGAACCCTCATACAATGTTGATGAGAATAAAAAGTGGTGTGACTGTTTTGTAAAATAGTCTGGCAGTTCTTCAAATGACTAAACATAAAGTTACCATATGGCCCTGAAATTCTACTCCTGGATATAAACACAAGAGAAATGAAAACATATGTTTACAATTAAACTTCTAAATATATGTTTAAAAGAACAGAAATCATACAATATCTGCTTTTAGATACTTAAACTAGAAATCTGTAGCAGAAAGACAACTGGAAAATTCCAAATTATGTGGAGATTAAACAACATATTTCTAAATAACACATGGCTCAAAGAAGAAATCTAAAGAGAAATTTTTAAATATTTGAACTACTTGAAAATGAAAACACAATTTAACAAAATTTGTTGGATGAAGTGAAAGGAGTGGTTAAAGGTAAATTTATAGCACTGAATGCATATACTAGAAAATCCAGATCCAAAATCAGTAATCTAAATTTCCATCTTAGGGAATTTAAAAAAGGGCAAATTAAATCCAAAGTAAAAAGATAGACTAAGAATTCAAGCAGAAATTTAAAAAATTGAAAACAGAAAATTAATAGAGAAAAATCAATGAAAACAAAAGCTGGTTCTTTGAAAGGATCAATAAAATTGATATGCCTCTAAGCCAGACTAACTAAGAAAGAAAGAGACAGGACACTAATTACTAATATCAGAAATGAAAGATGGAACATCACTACAGATCTCATGGACATGAAATGAATAATAAAGGAATAATAACAACTCTATGCCCACAAATTTGATAATCTGGATAAAAAAAGACCAATACCTTAAAAGATACAGTCTGCTAAACTCACACAGAAAGACACAGAAAACCCAAAAGGCCATATCTAGTAAAGAAACTGAATCAATAATTAATAATCTTCCAAAACAGAAAGCACCAGGTCTAAATAGGTTCAGTGATAAATTCTATCAAACATTTAAGGAAGAAATTATACCAATTTCAGAGGATAGAAGCAGAGGGAATACTTCATAACTCATTTTATGAGGCCATCATTACCCTAATAACTGACAAAGATATTATAAGAAAACTGGAAAGCATTATCTCTCATAACATACATGCAAAAGTCATCAACACAATACTAGTGTAACCGCTAAAAAAAATATTAATATTTTCCTCCCACTTTCTAAGTTCTTCTAGTTGGACCAATAATCAAATTATCAGAGACAGATTAATAGCAGAAAATCAAAGTGTTAATACATGCTCATGGGGAAATCACATAGGCATGAAAATTCAAAAGACAGTAAAGGCAACATTGGGTATATAAAACATTTTGGACAAAGAAGAAAAGGGGAGTCTAACAGGGCCTTAGATTTCAGAAGTGAGAATGGGTGATGTACAGGAGCTAAGGGAGAACACAGAACATAGACAGAAGGAAAATTTTTGCCAGACAACTCAGAAACAATGGGACACAGGATGCATTTAGCAAACACACTTGGAGTCTTCCTAACTAATGCTAGTGTAAAGATTCTTAAGGTGATTAAGCCAGGCTCTCTTTCTAAAGCAGGTTTCTCTGAATCTCTTGGGCAGGAAAGGGAAGAGAGTCAAAGCCTACCTCTTGAGTCTTGTTTCTGAAAATAAATATTCCAAAAGGCAACTTCAGGATGGCAAAACGTTGGTTCCCTTCACTAGCAAATCAAATCTAAAAAAGTATTAAAAAAATTACACACCACAACCAAGTGGAATTTGATGCAGGTATGCAAGGCTAGTTCAAGGTTCAAAAATCAATTAATGTAATCCTTCACATAAGCAGGCTAAAAAAGAAAAATGACATGACCATACTGCTTTTGTCATAATTAGCTAGTTATTAATACTAATAATAGGAAGAGAGCAAAGGTGAGGCAAGACATTATAAGCATGGTCATCTAGGCAGCTTCACCAGGAAGCCATGGGTCCATTCCCTGCAGAACACTGAAGGAAGAGATCCAACAAAGGGGGAGAAGGAAGCATGCACAGAGAAGTAGGGGTGACGTAGGGAAGCTACTTGCCTATCAGTCTAGCCTGGGAAACAATGGATTGGTTAGGAGCATGGACCCCAATGCAAGCTCCTGAAAATTTGGGACTACATAATTCCCAAAGAGTTCCCGCTCTCTTGTTCTGCTCTTGTGCTCTGACATTCTTGCTCCATGACCCGCACTCATCCTGTGTGCTTGTCTATTCTCTCTCTACATACACAAGATGGAGTACAGCTGGAAACACAAACTAAGCTGGCCAGATGCTGGACTGGACTGTGCTTTAATACGGAGCAGAGACTGTGAGCAGTGGCCTTAATTCTAGCCCTGCTGAAGACAAGATTGGACTTTTTCCATGGCAAGATGGAGGGAAATGGTACA